AGTAGACACTGGGATTGAATCCAGGGTTTTATTCCTTACATGAGGCAAGGACTCTACCATGGGTATGAGCAACATACTCAGCCCTTTATTTTGAGATAGGGTCTCCCTGAGTTGCCTTGACTGGCCTCACACTTGCTATCCTTCAGCTTCAGCCTCAGCCTCAAGAGTAGCTGGGATTACAGACCTGTGCCACCACACCTAGCATTACCTTCATTCTTAAAAGGTGTTTATGCTGGATAAAAATTCTGGGTGGATCATTTCTTTTTTTAAGTACCTCACAGTTGTCACTCAGTTGTCTTCTTGTTTGCATTCTCTGTCATAATTTTGATCTTTTTTCCTCTATACATAGTTTCTCTTTTGCTTGGCTAGACTCAATATTTTCCTCTTTGCTGGGTGTAGTGGCACACATGTGTAATCCCAGCAGCTTGAGAGGCTGAGGCAGGAGGATCTCAAGTTCAAAGCCAGCCTCAGCAATTTAGTAAGGCCCCAAGAAACTCAGCAAGACCTTGTCTCTAAATTTAAAAAAAGGGGGGGGGGGGGGGGCTTGAGGATGTGGGTCAGTGGTTAAGTGCCCCTGGGTTCAATCCCCAGTGCCAAAAATATAAATTATATATATTTTCATTCCCCTCTTTGGTCTCTGTTTACTTAAGTTTGGATGCATGTGTTCTGCACAGGGTATTTTGGGGGTTTTTTTGTTGTTTTTTTGTGGGGGTGGGGATTTATACTGCTTTGATGTTCTCTAAGCTTCTTAGACCTGTGATTTGCTATCTCATTAATTGTGGATAATTCTCTAATATCTCAAGTATTTCTTTTGCTCTCTTCTCTCTTCTCCTGGGATTCCAAATACATATATATCACATGAATGATGTTATCCCCAAACTCTTGAATGTGTGTGTTTTTAAATGTTTCTAGAAAAGGTTGGAAGGAACCCAAGTTGCAGGTGGGTAATTTCTACTGACATATCTACACGTATGATGATTTTTTCCTCAGCTATGATAAATCTAAGACCAAAGATTTTTTTTAATATTTATTTTTTAGTTATAGGAAGACACAATATCTCTATTTTGCTTTTATGTGATGCTGAGGATGGAACCCAGTGCCTCACACATGCTAGGCGAGTGCTCTACCTCTGAGCCATAACCCCAGCTCCTAAGTCCAAAGATTTTATTTCTAGCATTTTCTTTTGGGTTCTTTTATAGTTTCTCTGTTGAAAATACCTTGCATTTTGCCCATTTTTCTGTTTCAACATTTAACAACATAGTTTAAATCCTCTGCTAGATAATAGTCTCTACATTAATCTGAGTGTAGTTCTCAAAGGGTATTCTTCCTCCTGAAAGTTTTTTTCTTTTTCTTTTACTATTTTGTGTGCGTCAGAATTTTTCATCAAAAGCTGGACATGTTGTATAGGACAGTACACTGAGGTGAAAATATTTTATAACTAGAAATGGACACACCTTTTCTTTGTGAGGCCTTTAGTGCAGTTATGTTGTTACTCTATTTAGGAATTGGGTTGGGTCTGTGAGTTTGCTATAGTTATCCTCAGTGTACCACAGACTTTATTTATCTGCAGAATAGCTTTTTATCTATGGTGGTGGTGGGGGGTGGCTTACTACAGTAATGTCTATCCCTTTTTTTTTTGACAGCAGCAATTGAACCCAGGGGCATTTAAACATAAAGCCACATCCCCAGCCTTTTTTATTTCAACACAGGGTCTCACTAAGTTTCATAGAGCCTCACTTTAATTGCTGAAACAGGACTCAAACTTATGATCCTCCTGCCTCAGACTCCCAAGTTGCTGGGATTTCAGGGCTATGCCACTAGTCAGACTAATTCTTTGTGTGTACTTTTTTGTATACTCTTGTGCCTTTCCTCATAGTAGTCTGCAGTTATGATTACTTGCTATTCAAAGCTTCTAAAGTGTGGCATCAAGAGGTGAGGGACACAGTCTCTGTTCTCATTTAATTTTTCAGTTTAAGCCATAAACTATGTGCTTGGATCTCAGGGATGTTACATTCTCATTTCTACAAAATCGTCCTTAACTGCAGTTTGGGGTTCAGGGCCCCACCTTTAGGCATAATATTCCTATACTCTTCTCTTGTTTCACCTGAGTTCAATAGGACTAGCAAGAATGCCTTTTCCCTCCACAGATGAGACAGAGGGGAAGAATGAGAATAGTTTCTTAACCCTATTTAAGAGCTCTGCGGCTGCTCCCCTCCACTAGGTCTAACAATACTCCCCTGGGTTACTTCCAACCTTTTCTAGAAGCATACCCAGTGAAGTTTGTGGATAAAGAGCTTAGTGCACTCAGCCTTCATCAATTTCTCATCTATTCTGGCTGAACTCTTCTTACCAGTATTCAATTATGTCTGATGAAGATTAATGCAAATTTATGTCTTCTCTCCCTCTCTCTCCTCTCTGTCCTTAAATTTGGGGCTAGTGGTTTGCTCTATGGCCTCCATTCTTTAATTGATCTCAAAAACAAAAAAAAAAACAAAAAGGAATTTGAAGTGAGACTAGTTCTCTTTTGTTGCAAAGGTGAACAAATTTGCTTTTTGCAAAAGGTGGTTCTATAATTTATGATGCAGTTCAGGATAGTGAAGGAGGTGTGACAATAATTTGGCATAAAAAGGGAGCATTTATTGGGTCTGAGAAACACTGACTTAAAGGATATCTCAAAACAACTTCCCTTTTACCACCACCAATAATGACAGTGAAGGCCAACATCTATTAGTGCAAAGTGTTTACCAAAATTGCAGTTTACCTGCATAGTCTTGTTTCTACTTTGCTAATTTTAAGTAAATCAGAGAAGCAGAGGGAAAATATGTGTAATAGGAACCTTAAAGTCACCTGTGTAAATACAACTGGTTGAGAAACAATTACTTAAAATTTACCCAATTTATTCAGAACCAGACTTTTCTATCAACCTTTTTACAAATTTAATAATGCCAGTACTGTGATGGTTCACCTGTGCAACCTCCCCCATTTACTTGTGGATAAATTGAAATTCTTGCAAAGAACGTGTGTTCCTTGATTCCATAACTGGTTTTCACTGATGACATAAACTTAAAAGTAAATTAACAGAATAGATTTAAGTATTTTGTTTGCAACTAAGTTTAACACTAGATGATGTTTATATATTTTAGACAATTTATCACCACCACTTTAGAAATAGAGGAATTTAGAAAAAAGGCCATTGCTTCTCACTGGAATACAAATGCTGGCATTTTCCATGAACTGAACTCTATTAAGGTTCTTCACATTCCTATTTCTTAAAAATGACTCCTTTCTTCCTCCCTTAATATGTTCTACTTCCTGTTTTTAAACAAGTATAGTGTTTTATTAACAAGGACTAATGTTCCCTGAATGCATTGTGATATTAATAGTTCAAGCCACTTTTTAGATATAGCTCCTTAACATTGTTTCACCTTATATTTAAAATATGAGCAAGGTTTTGTTATATGTTAAGTCAAACAATAAACTACTTCCCAGAAACAAGCAAAAAACAAACAAACAAACAAAAAACCCCAGCGAAATCTAGTTTTTTCAGGATACTGGATTTCTGACAATTTGGGGGGAGGGAGCAAGTCCAGTTTCATATTCCCATAGACTCACAAATTACTGGCAATATATACAAACCCTAATTCTGTGAGCAATTTCCTCAAATCCTAAGGAAAGAAGAGCCAAGAACTCCTACTCTTGTGTTTAGTTCCAACATCTTAAAAATAGTGACACAATGGGACTGGGGTTGTGGCTCAGCAGTACAGCGCTAGCCTCGCACGTGCGAGACCCTGGGTTCGATCCTCAGCACCACACACAAAAATAAACAAGTGAAATAAAGGTGTTATGCCCAACTACAACTAAAAAAAATAAATATTAAAAAAGCATTAATAATAGTGACACAAATATGTTCAAACTTAGAAACCTATCAAGTTCAGAAACTGATAAAGGAAATATTATAAAAAAATAATAATCATCACTAAGAACGGGTCCAAAGTCCTGAAAGTTTAGCTCTTTTCAAAGACACTGTACTTGAAAAATATCAAAATAAACCTACTGTATAAAGAAAGCCCTTCATAGAAGAGGCAACAACAGCAGGTAGAGGCTCTCCTTTTTGAGAAGCAGGGTGGGGTAAGAGGGAAAAAAGCAGAGAGGCAAATCAAAAAAATATTACTTTCAAAGACTACCGCTATATTAGGGAGAGAGTTTTACTCTTGCCAGCAACTGAAAAAGGAAACAATCTCAAGACAACACAGGTTAAATGAACACCCTACAATCAGGGCAATTTAAAGATAGGCACTCTTAAGTGTGGTAAGTCTCTAATACACCTTTAACAGTCACTTCATTGAGTGTCAAAGTCCTACTTCACCCATTCCAAAGGCTGCAGAGGTGAAATCACAGCAGCCAAGAAAGGCCACTTGTATAAGCTATCTTGCATACAGAAAAAGCCTTGGAGAAAAGCTTAATTTTGATAAAGGAAGGAACTGGAGAAGGGACGACGCATTTTGCTCATTTTCCAGAAAAACGAAACAAAGCTAAGAAAAGAAAGTCAAGTCTAAGCGGGACTCAGGGAGGAGGAGGATTGCTGACTCTAGGAAATAAGAGTTGCCTGCCTCCAGGAGGAAAGGTGCTCCAGCTAGGAGGCAGGAAGGGAATCCCGTGGGCGGAGCCCACAGGGGAATGAGGGGTGTGTGGGGTTAAGGATGCGCTAAGGGGAGTGGGGAACCGTGGTGGGTAGGAACCAAAAAAAAAAAACAGGCAAAGAGAGGAGTGGGGCTGAACAGGACAGTACCCTGGGCAAATGTCACTCAGAGCCAGGGGTCCGGGGGCTGCGAACGAAGGACCCACACTAGTAGCCTGGGGGGAGGGTAATCTGCTGCCCTTAGCAACTTCAGACTGCAGCGGCCAAGACACCAGCCTTCCTTTTCCCTGCTCTGAGTGCCCCCGCCCAAGTCCCCGCGGCGTGGGGAAGGGGTAAGTCTCGTGCCCGGAGTCGGCTTTACCTTCGCGGGAGGCTGGAGAGGCTCCAGCCCAAGCTCCTCCCGCCGCCGGCTCTGCGTCCAGAGTGGGATGAGGCGCTCTCTGACCTCCTCCCCCTCACAACTTCCCCTTTCCCCCGCCGGGGCCCTGTAGCTCCGCTGCCGCGGGTTCCTGGTGCCGCCGCGGCACTGCCTCCCCGCCCCCTCCGCCTCCTCCCTCTGCCTCTCAGAGGCTCACTCTGGAGGCCGCCATCTTCGTCCAGGCTTTGAGCGCCGCGCTCCTATACGCCTGCGTCGCCACCGCCCAGGCAGTCACGAGACCCAGTCAGCTGATTTAAGTGCTTCCGCCTCCTGCCCCGCCCTCCCTGTCACATTTGCTCCCTTCCGGGAAATATCGCGTCTCTCCGACCCGCCGGCCCGCCCCCTAAGCAGGTACACATGCGCAGAGTGAGTGAGGAGGCCGGCCGTGGGGATCCGAGGGTCCACGCAACGCGTGAGGGGACCCGCCCCGCGGCGCGTGCTGAGAAGGATCTGCCCCTGGGCGCGCGCGCGCACGCGATGGGCCACGCCTCTTGGTGTGTTTTCCAGCAGCCACGCCCCTCCATTTGTGTTCTGCGGGTTGTAGGAGTGTGTCCACGGATTTGTGCTATTAATCCGGTCAAGTCCTGTTTGGAAGCACGTCTCGGACCTGGCGCATCCGCGAGGCGGAAGCCTCGGCCTACTATCCCGTTTATCTGGATTGGAAGCAAGTTAACTTGCTATTGAGACACTCAGAAGAAAGACGACTGAGCAGTTCAGATTTTGAGCGGTCTCAGGGGTGGTGGAGATGCCTAAGGCCTTTGTTGGTGAGAGTGTTGGACAGGTGATACTAATAGCGCCCACTTATTGTCTGCTGATCACATATCTAGGTGTTTACTTAATGCTGCTTAATCCTAAACAATATGAGACAGGAATTATCCTCATTTGCTGTTTAACTAAGGAAGGTCAGTTCCCCTTCTTTCCAGACCTGAACTGTAAAGATCACAGTTTAAAACTTATTCTGCTACAGTTTTTTTTTTTTTTTAATAGTGTAGGGGCTTTGCATGGATACATTATTTTTTGAGGGTTAAAACTCTGTGATAACTATGTTAACAGTCCTGAAATTGTGATTTCTTGGGGTCCTCTTCAATGATGGACTCTTTTTATAGATGGTATTTATAGGATGAAAAATCTGTAAAACGATTGTTAAAGAATTTGCTCCTTGACTCTGTTGACCCATTACTCTGCTCTAGGGCAGAAAAAGATTTTGCATTTATCCTCAGAGTAGACTTTCCTGTATTGCAGCAGTAAGATAAGGTGCATGTAAGGGGAGGTACCAGGAATAGCTGGGTGTGGGAAGACACGACCTGAAATAGAGAAGGAAGGGAGGAGAAAAAAGAAACAGACGGTCTGAGTTAAGGGGCCTTCTTGGTTTATTCCATGGAAACAGAAATTTGTGATTATGTAGCCTTTTATAGCCTTCCAGTAATCCTAGAAGTAGATGTGGGGAGTATCATTTCTATTTTATAGAGGAAGTATACCCAAAGGATCTAAGAAACTTGCTCAAGGTGACCTACCTCTTAAAGGTTGAGCCAAGGTTTAGTCACAGGATGTGCAACAGCAAGGCCATTGAACTACTAAGCTGCCACACTGCCTCTCTGTTCAATATTTGGGACCAATAAAATTGATTTTCAGAGTTGGGAGGAGCCTTCGGTAATATGAACTGCTCTCATGTCCTGGAGTGGAAAATTTCCTGCCTCTCTAGATATATTTTTCCTTTGCATTTTTTAGAAACCATTTTCCATTTTCCTTGTATTTGCCCATCTTGCCCTCTCTTTCATGAGTAGTTCCCCCCCGCCTTTTTCCTCTTCTAAGTGACGTCTCTAAGTATGTACCAATATACCTAACCACCCTATCCCACTCCTCTCCTGCTTATCCACCTAACTATCCCAACCACAGATTCTCATCCTAAGCAATAACCTATTGCTTTCATCTTCTGTTCACAGATGTGATTTAAAGACTTTTTGCATCCTCCCTGGTTGCTCTTAATTGAATTTGAACATATTTGTGTCAGTATTTTTAAGATTCTGAAACTAAACACAAGAGTCAGCGAGAGTAGGAGGAGGACTTGGCTCTTCTTTCCTTAGTCTTCTGTTAAATTAGTTTGTTTCCATCTCCTGCTCCATCTCCTGCTCTTTTTTTTTAAGAGTTTGACAATTTCAAGGCAGACCTTCAAGTTTCCTCCGTCTGGATTTATCTTTTTATTCAAAACCAGATTTGCAATAGCTTTTCTGACATTTTCGTGCAACAAACATCAAATTTATAATCCAGACTATATTATACATCCTTAGAATGTTTCACAACTTTTGAAAATGCTTTTTACAGATTTTTTGGACAACAATAGCTTTCATGAGTGTCCTTAATTAGTATGGAAGGCAGGAGAGGCCCAGGATTTTAGAAAGCCCACAGGCCAAACACTACTTGATTCAAGTCCCCATTTTTGCTAAATTGATCTTTCTAATTATATCAGTGTTTAAATCCAAAATAAATCCTTAAAAACTTTGTGCCACTCAGTAATATTTGAACTTAAAATCCAAAATTCACAGCGCTCCAAAACCCAAAATTTATGTTAATGCTTAAAAAGTAGTTTTTGGAGCATTTTCAGGTTTTTAGAGTAGGGATGCTCAACTGATAAACTCTATATAGATATTTCCACCTCCCCCACAATCCAAAATCTGAAACACTCTGTTAAACTAGTTTGTTTCCATCCCTGCTCTTAAAAGAGTTTGACAATTTCAAGGCAGACCTTCAAGCTTCCTCAGTCTGGATTTATCTTTTAAACCCAGCATATTAGACAAGGGATACTTAACTTGTATTGTTAAAGCATGGTAATAAAGACTTTATTCAGGACCATTGCAGTGGGTTCTAGAAGTGGAGAGAGAAGTTGAGCAAATGGTGATTTATAAAGAAGGAGCAGAATAGGGGTCAAATGTCAGTGTAGGGAAAATTACCAAGAGGAAAGAAACATCAGGAGTATGGGAGATTCTGACTAAACCCACATAACAAGATTCTTGCTTTGGTCAGGGTAATCAGATATCACCTCCAGGGAGAAGGAAGATGAGAAACTTGATAAGATATCCAGGGTTAACTAGAAACTAAGGTTTCAGGGGCTTCTGGATAAACTGAACTAGCGTGATGTTTTTGCTAAAACTGGATTTTACATGAAAGTGCACAGATGGACCTAGGAGAAAGTTCAGGAGCCTAATTAAAGTTTTGCCAACAAATGGGACCTACTTAAACTAAAAAGTTTTTTCTCAGCAAGAGAAACAGTAAAAGAGGTAAATAGAGAGCCTACATCCTGGGAACAAATTTTTACCCCTCACACCTCAGATAGAGCCCTAATATCCAGAATGTACAAAGAACTCAAAAAATTAAACAATAAGATAACAAATAATCCAATCAACAAATGGGCCAAGGACCTGAACAGACACTGCTCAGAGGAGGACATACAATCAATCCACAAGCACATGAGAAAATGCTCACCATCTCTAGCAATCAGAGAAATGCAAATCAAAACCACCCTAAGATACCATTTCACTCCTATAAGATTGGCAGCCATTATGAACTCAAACAACAATAAGTGTTGGCGAGGATGTGGGGAAAAGGGCACACTTGTTCACTGCTGGTGGGACTGCAAAATGGTGAGGCCAATTTGGAAAGCAGTATGGAGATTCCTGGGAAAGCTGGGAATGGATCCACCATTTGACCCAGCTATTGCCCTTCTTGGACTATTCCCTGAGGACCTTAAAAGAGCACACTATACGGATACGGCCACATCAATGATTATAGCAGCACAATTCACAATAGCTAGACTGTGGAACCAACCTAGATGCCCTTCAATAGATGAGTGGATAAAAAAATTGTGGCAGCTATACACAATGGAGTGTTATGCAGCACTAAGAAACGACAAAATCATAGAATTTGCAGGGAAATGGATGGCATTAGAGCAGATTATGCTAAGTGAAGCTAGCCAAGCCCTAAAAAACAAATGTCAAATGTCTTCTTTGATATAAAGAGAGCCACTAAGAATAGAACAGGAAGGAAGAGCATGAGGAAAAGACTAACAGTAAACTAAGACGAATGGGGGGAGAGAAAGGAAGAGAGAAGGGAAAACATATGGAAATGGTAGGAGACCTTCAGTGATACACAAAATTATAAGAGGTTATGAGGGGCAAGGGGGTGGGGGGAAAAAAAGGGGAGAGAATTGAACAACAGCAGAGGAGGTAGAGAGGGAAGATGGGAGGGGAGGGGAGGGGAGGGGGGATAGTAGGGGATAGGAAAGGTAGCAGAATACAACAGTCACTAATATGCCATTATGTAAAAATGTGAGTATGTAACAGAAGTGAGTCTGTATTATGTATTTGGGGAGTTCAAAACCCAATTGAGTCGAATGTATGAAAGATGATATGTCTTGAGCTCTGTAATGTTTTGAACAATCAATAAAAAAAAAATAAAGTTTTGCCAAGCAAAGAGTCATTTTGAAATGATAATATTATGGATATTTGTGTTGTTAAATAAAATGGTTAAATTAATTTTGCTTTTTTCTTTTTTAAATATAGCTGCTAAGAAACAAAACTCTATATGTGGCTCCCTTTATACTTATCTTGGACAGCTTATTGTCATCAGGTCTTGTTCAGACACACAGTGAGTGTCATAAAACATGTCAATTGAGTTGATGGGCTCAAAGCACCCACAGAATCATCTTCTAGACTTCATTTAACTTTATGTGGGCATCTTCTGCTGTTTTGGGAGTTTTTCTCAAGGTTTACCTCACCATATATATTTAGTTTTTTGTGTTCCTCCATACTACTAATTGTATAAATTTGAAATTTTTGACAACATATGACAAATTAGGAAATAAGAATTTCTTGACATACATATATATTGTTATGGTTCAGATAGGAGATGTCCCACAAAAGCTCTTGTGTTAATGCAGGAATACTAAGAGGTGATTGGACTGTGAAAGCTGTAACCTCATCAGTCCATCCTAGTTTGAATGGGCCAGGTGGTAATTATAGGCAGGTCAGGCAGGCATGGCTGGTGGAGGTGGGTCACTGGGAGAATACTCTGGGTGCCTGTTCCCTGCAGCTCTTCTCACCTCCCAACCCATTTTCTAGCTGCCATGAACTGAGTAGCTTTCCTC